TGGTAAGAGTTGGAGTTCTGGCCATCCAGTGCAACATAAGTGGATCTGTCCTTTGAGTAACTTTCAAACCAAGTGCAAAGTTTCGGCGATAATCCCATTGCTTTGAGCTTGTTGAGCAGATTTTCATGCCAAACTTTGTCGAATGCTTTAGATATATCTAAGGCAATTGTTCTTGTTTCACCCCGCAACTCAATCGCTTTTTGCCATAAGTGAGTGTCGTATGTAAGTAAATCGCCAGTTGACCTATATTTTCGAAATCCGTATTGCTTATCGTTGATAATTTTGTACTTTTCCAAGTACTTGGTTAGGTGATTGTTCACAACTCTTTCCATTACTTTTGATACCACCGGAAGTAGAGCAATTGGTCTATAGTTTAACGGATCTGTCTTTTTTCCTTTCTTTGGAATGGGTTGTACTGCGGCAGACTTCCATGATGATGGATATACTCCTTGCCTGTAAGACAAATTGAATAATTTTGCGAAAGTTGGGGTGAGTTCGTTGGCGCAATTTTTGAGTACTATTGCGGGAATGCCATCCGGACCCATTGCTTTGTTTGTATCCAGCTTTTTTAGGGATTTTCGTATTTCTCTGTGACAAAAGGGTACCTCTGGCATACTATGGGAAACCCTTTCAATGAACGGTGGAGTTTTTCCGTTTGGCACTGTTAGGTTGGAGTTGGAGGAAAACATTTGGGCAAGCATATTGGCTTTTTCCTCTGATGTTGTGGCTAAGTGATTATTTTTATCTGTAAGTGGTGGTATGGATGACTTGGTGAAGTTAGATCCAACAGCTTTTGCAAGAGACCAAGAAGACCTAGAACTACTTGGACAATTCAGCAACCTGTTTTTTATTCTTTGATTGTATGTTTCTTTAGCGGAGTCAATAGTAATTTTGCAACTATTTCTGGCTTCTATAAATTCTGTGTGGTTTTGAGCGGTTTGTTGTCGTTTCCAAAGGTTATATGCTCTGTGTTTTTTCTGTACAGCCGTTTGACACTGGCTGTTGAACCAAGGTTTTGCATTAGCTCTACGTTTTGTTGTATGTGGGATATATGCATCCATTCCAGATAAGATTACTTGTGTTATTTCATTACAGCAAATAGTGGGATCAGCTGTTTTAAAGCAAACCTCTTGCCATGGAAAATCCAGGTAATACTGTTTTAGGTCATTCCATTTTGCCGATTTATAGTGCCACATTTTACGAGGAAGTGGTTGTAGGCTTGGTGGGATGAGCATTTCGCACTTTGTTATTATAAGTTTATGATCGGACGAACCAAGTGGAGCATCTACTTGAATTGTGTACGAGTCAGGATTGGTGGTTAGGAACAAGTCTAAAAGCGCTGCAAATTCGCCCCTTTCTGAGATACGGGTAGGTTCATCAACAAGCTGCGTTAGACCACAACCTATGGCAAAAGCTTCTGCTTCTCTGCCTTCGTTATCTGTTTTGTTGTGGTGTTTCAGCCAGGGTATATTGTGGACGTTGAAATCGCCTAAAAAGACAAATTCCGTATTCTTAAATGTTAATTATATTTTCGATTCAGAAACTTGTATTTTAAAAAATTTATTTATTAATCAAAATACCTACAAAGGTGACAAAAGATAATAGGTGGATCAAGTTGCTCAAGTACCCTGTTCGCTTCCAAGGTTCCAAGGTCAGCGCAATTTGCACCTTGTCCACAGCTTTTCTGAAAAGTGTAGTTGTGCAAAGACCGTACCATTGTCTAAGATTTTTTAGCCATGATATTCTTCTATGGCCTGAACCTCTTTTTCCTGCAATTTTTCCCTCTATTATCAGTTTAAGGAGTTCATATTTGTCATTTCTTAAAATGGGTCCAAAACATTTAGGTTTACGTTTTTTGATGGTGAATAAAACTTCAAGTTCCTTATTTATTTTAAGAAGAACATCCGCGTTACGTACTCTGTACATCCAAGATATTCTGAGCATTCTTTGATAGCACCACATCTCAAATGCTTTCAATTTCTTGCTCATGGCATCAGTTAATGTCCACGCCTCTACACCGTAATATAAAATGCTAAACACATAACAACGAAGCACGCACGAATTTGGAGAGTGCGCGACTACACAACACTGACTTTATTTTAATGAAACACGATCTGGCCTGTTCGATTCTTGCCCGGACCTCTTGCATGTTTTCCCAGTTTTCATTGAGCTGACAACCCATGTATTTGTAAGAATTAACGCGTTCGACTTGTTGGCCTTTGACTTCTAATATGCCCCTAATGTTCCTTTCTGTAGCTATAACCATCCATTTTATTTTTCCTACATTTAGGTTAAGTCCAAATTACGAGCTTTCGTCAGCAACTTTATTTGGGAGCTCCTGCAGCCCTTGCAGTGTATCTGCGATAATAACTATGTCATCGGCATATCTTAGGTTGTTGATTTTTCTGCCATTCATAGTCAAGCCCTCTTTGCAAATGTGCAGTGCGTTCTCTATGATTTTATTACTGTAGATATTGAACAACAGTAGAGACAATATGCAACCCTGGCAAACACCTCTTTGTATTCGAACATCTTCGGACAATTGGCCATCAACCTTTATCTGAGCTGTCTGGTTCCAGTATAGGTTGGCAATTATATTTAGGTCTGGATCATCTAGACCAACTTCTTTAGGATATTCTATGAGCTTTTCGTGCTGGTATCGATCAAAAGCCTTCTCATAATCTATGAAACAGGCATATACTGGCATCAACACATCTCTAGAACGTTCAACCAAATAAAGCCTGTCTAGTACTAAACCCTCGAACGAAATCCAAACTGTGCGTCTCCCATGAACGAACTTGTTCTCTGGATTCGTAAATATATAGTTATATCTCCTTTGTCCACAATTTATCTTTACGAAAAAGTTAAGCAGTTGAAAAACATTTCACGGTTGCTACGCTTCTAAAAAAATTTACAAATTCAAACTTTAATTCATTTTCTTTAATTTAAACTTTGAGTCTTGCTAATCTTTGTCTTTTCGTGCCGCGTTCGGATATTTCTCGGGATCCGTGATTCGTTTAGTTCCTCGACAGCCAGCATGACCATAAGGTTGTTGGCTTTAAAAGCACGTTAACTGGAAAACTATGAAAAGTTAAGTTGAGCCATTTAAAATAAATTTATCTTGAAAGTCGGCGAAAACTGTTCCATCACTACGTAACTGAAAGTAATTCGATTACGGTGCATAAAAAAGACTTTCCAGCCAAAGTCCCTTCAGGGACTGCTTTTGATGGCAAAGCTTTTTTGTGCTCTTTAATAATTTAAAGGTTTGTACTAAAAAAACTGAGATGAGAGGATTTAACTTTTGTTTATTCTTGAATATTATTTTTGTATTAGAACTTTTTCAGTTGCTTTTGGGATATGTTTTTATGTGAATTAAACTTCCAGCCTCCAATGAAAATTTTTGTTCAATGCAGACACTCATAAATAAATAAGTTTCCAAATTAAGTCAGCCGTTTATTCACCAAAATCAAAATTGACTGTTTGAAATAAAATGCGATCTACCAAGCAATTTCAAAGACCAGCAAATCATATATAAAGTGAAGTTCGGATATAAAGAATCCGTTCAACACTCGGTTATAACGAACTCTTTTTGAAATTCTCATGAAAATGTCTTACAAAACCAATAATGTATTTTTTTAACGTTTATAGTAGACTTCGGATATAGTGAACCAATTTTGATGCACTTTTCGAGTTCATTACATCCAAAATTTACTCTGGATGGAAAATGGCCGAATGAACTGTTGCAAAGGTTAGACAAAATAGAAATCTACTATCTATGTGCCAGTTATAATATAAGCTATTCTGGATAATCTAAAAGTACCATTGAATGACTAAATGAATTGGGGGTATTGTTACACTGCGACCTACATAGATCTAGTGTGTCCCCATTTTGGGTGCTTCAGTTGATAGGATTTTCACTCAAAGCACCTCATCTAGCTTTAGAGCTTTTATGAAAGCAAGTAGACTGGATGGAAAGGCTCTGGTCCTGAAAGCGGAGTTTGTGCTCCCAATTTCGCCAATTGATCCGATTTCTCATTGCCTTCGATTCCTGCGAGTCCCGATATCCACTAGAGGCATAGCTTGTTATTATTGCCCAGTTTTTTTTTTTTAACTTGTCCAGGTATTCCCAAAGCATTCTGGAGCTGATTATTGGTGAGCTCAGCGCTTTAATGGCTGCTCAACTGTCTGAAAATCTCTCTCTTTTTGTAGTTAAGATTGAATTCAGCAAATCTACTAGCATTTATTTCCGCCTGAAATATGCCTTGGTGTTTTTCCATTGCTTCAAAGAACTTGATTCCAGGCCCAAGTACTCTGGCTCCGGTTCTTTGTTTAGTTCTTGTCCCATCAGTATATTATTTTATGGCGTTCTGCAATCTGCTGCATTGTAAGAATGGATGGTATATCCTTTCAATTCTTCTCTACTTCTTATCACTACTGTGAAGCGTATCTTAAAAGTATACGTTTTGATCATATCATTCCTGGGGAGCTTGATGAGCGGAATAAGCTTGGTTAGACATGCCAATTCTCTCCTTTCAAGATTCCTGGTTTGCATCATCAGGTTTCGACACCATGAGAGCCCTTGTCGTCTTGGTTACAGATCCTTTAATGTGTTGTCTCCATCTGAGTTTTCATTTCAGCGTTATGCCGAGATATCTGACCTCTGTCACCGGTTTAATAATAGTTCCGTGTATTCAGATGTCCTTCATTCTAGGGAGTTCTCTCTTTTTAGTGGAAGACACTACGGTGATTTGTGATAGATTTATCTCCAGTCCCACTGTTTGGCACTGTGGTATCCTTGTTAATAAGGCACAACGAGGTTCTCATAAACAAATGTATTTTCCAATACTTTACACACTACTTCAATATATGAGAAAATATAATAATAATAATTAGAGTATAATATCGCTCGCTCCCAGTCCAAGCTCGACATCCCACTGCCGAACTATTAGCTGATCCATCAAGGATCCATCAGTATATGCGGGCGGGGTTAGTGACGTTACTGTCCGTCCTCTCATCAGCCCGCTGCCACATTTCGTCCTTTCTTTTCAATTTCAATGGGCTAATCTTTGGCCGTTCTTGAGGTCCCTGGTTTTCCCCATGTCCACTGATATCTGGTGGTTGTAGAGGGTCCTCGCTGGTTCCTGGATTTTCCTCTTCTCCTGGTGTTCTCATCTCGCCTGGGAGACTGCCGCCGGGGGTAAGGTCTATGGAGTCTAAGCTGGCTGATCCAGGTGTGACTGTCACAGTTGAAGGAATTTGTTTTACATTAGTGACATCTCTCCGTATCACTTTTCCATCCCCCGCCAATTGTACCTCGTTCCCAGTCTTTTGAGTGACTGTATACTCCGTGTTGTTAAACCTTGACATGAATTTGTTAGATGGCGTCATATTTTGTACGACTACTGTATCTCCAATCTTAATGACACACTCCTTTGCTCTTCTTGCACTATCTTCTCTTTCTTCCCTTTTTTGTTTCTTCACCATATCGATATTCCTCGCCTCTTTGTCGATTTCGTCTGTCAACATGTCGTGAATCGGTGGAATTTTATCGCGTATTTTTCTGCCAAACATTATAGACAGTGAGATAGGGGCTGTTTTTTTGTCTGGCATTTTAAGGGCTGAATGTGGCTACTAAGCTGATGAGAATATGGGTGATTTTAATGCCGACTTCCCGTTCGAAAATTTGCAGAAGAAATAAATTGATTTACATGAAGAATTTTTTTTTAATAATCTCAAATATTCTAGCTTTTAACTAAAAGATTGACATTGATAAATAATTCACCCATGAAAAATATCAGATGTTTTTCAATAGCTGAAAAAATGGGGATGGGTGTCAACTTCCAAGAGAAAAGAAAAGAACCTTCCGCGTTTACTTTTTTCCTGGCAATCGACAGAATAAAAGGTTTTGTTGTGAAAATAACGCTGAAAAATCGCCAGACGGTAATCACAGTTCGAAGTTTTCCGGCGAAACATTCTGTGGACATTTCGAACAGGAGGCAGGCATTAAAACCACTTATATTCTCATCAGCTAACTAGTCACATTCATCCCTCAAAATGCCAGACAAAAAAAAAATGACTCCACTAAACAGGCCCTATCTCAGGGTCTATAAGTTCAGATGGAGATTTGCCCGTGCTGCTGTGCGGAATCACATTGTACATAATAATGAACTTTGTGGGTCAATTCTGTGCACATCTATAAGCAACTCTATAAATTTCTATAAGCCTATAGACACTGCAAAACGCATCGATTGCCAAACACTCCATCAGAAATATCTACGTTCCTATAATATATTCTGTAATCTACAGGAAGTGCAGAATTACAAATTGTCTTCAGGTAGCTATAGGCCTATAGAAATTTATAGAATTGCTTACAGATGTGCACAGAATTGACCCATTAGAGTCTCTCTTTGTAATCTTGATTGTTATTGTAGTCTCTTTAAGATTGACCTATTCATATTCTCTACTCCCCCATTAGCTTGGGCCAGTAGAGTGGTGTCAGGATTTGGACTATGTTGTTCTCATCGCAAAATTTCTTGAATTCTTGACTTGTGAACTGTCTGCCGTTGTCCCACCTGATTGACATTGGGATTCCCAACCTTGCAAACAACTTGGTCAAGCTTTTGATGATAACTGCTGAAGTCGTTGTTTTGAGGAACTGTATATCCTGGTATCGTGAGTAGTAATCTTTGGTAATGGTCCCATTAGGTCGATGGCAGTAAATTGCCAAGGTCCCTCCTGAAATCTATGCCGGGTTATCGCGGGTGGCTTTTCTGGAAGGCTTACAGTCTCTACAGTTTTTGACAAATTGTTCCACCTCTCGGTCAATGAGCGGCCACCAAACCTTCGCCCTTAAACGTCTTTTCATGACACTACTGCCAGGATAGCCTTCATGTGCTAGTCTTAGAACCTGGAGGCGCTTGGAAGGCAGAATCACTAGTCGTTTTCCACGTAGTAGTATCGGTCCCACGTTTGACAATTCAAAACGAAATCGTTAAAATGTTTATTCATTCGAAGAAAATCAACCCACTCGCTAGGGCTCGAGGGTTAAACTTTCTTCTCATGAATAAACATTCATTTAACTCACTTGGTGTATAAATAACTATTATCAGTTGGCGACCACGAATTACTTTCACTTTTCTCTATCGCATATGATATTTCCAAATCGAGTCGACTTTCTGATGAAACTTCCGTGATGTAGTACATTGCTTTGGGAGCATGATGCGACTTCTTTCTCGCCTAGAGCTTCTTGCATAATGCTCGTCAATTGGAATAGAGCTGTCTCAGTGGTTCTGCTTGCTCTATGCGCTAAATATAATATAGCAAGGAAAGGAGGCTGTGTGCATGTGTCCAGATAAAGAAAGAAACAAAGTGTATTTCATTGAAATTCAGCGTAGTAAAGTGCTTTCGGCTTGCGCCATCATTCGCCATCATTAGTATTACCTGCAAGGTTAAGTAAGGAAATAACGTCGATTTTGTCTGGGTCACTGACCTTATTTTGTGAAAGAAGGGAGACATTCCAAATTGACTGTTTCAGATTTGGGAACTATGGTGAAAAGATTGCAGACGTCAAAAGAAACAAGAAGAGATTCTCGTGGTGTGTTGAGGGAGTTTATTTTGTCGACGAGAGAGGAGGAGTTTTTGATACCATGCCTAGGACTGAAGTCTGTTTAGGAGATTGAGAATAAATTTTGAAATCAAGCAAACCGATGTGTTAGTGAAGCTGACCACCGGACTAATTGGTTCTCCTATCTTGTGGATTTTGGGGAGGCCATAGAATCTGGGCATGCTGGGGTTGCTGGATATCAAGGTTTTGGAGCTATCATTTTCATCCAGAAATTCTTCAAACTGTTTCAACAGTCTGTTTGTTTTTGTGACGAAAGTATTAAGTGGGTTCTTAGCGATCAAAGTAAAATTGTTATCCAGCAAGAAGTTCTCTACCTTGGAGATGTAATCAGCCTTATTCAGACCACAACACAGTTCCCCTTGTCAGCCTTTGAAATAATCAGACCATTACCCTGAATTTTTAATTTTAGCTTCTTCAACAAACGAAGCTGATGACGAGATACCCACGACAGAAACCCGCGAACTGTAAGGCACCCTTCCTTTTGTTATACAATAGGTTGTGGAGATCATTACGTAGTTTTTTTTTTGTTATTGTAGTTTTTGGATATTTGTTCAATCATTACATCAAGCTCCACAGCCTATTGTAGGAGGGAACTCTCAGAAAATGTACACTCAACACAATGCTTAAGCCGAAGATTCAACAGATCCATCTCGCACTCATCGAAGACAACGTCTGACAGATTCTTCACCCTGATTATTTCAAAGGCTGACAAGGGGAATTGTGTTGTGCTCATGAACAAGGCTGATTACATCTCAACTTCTTGTTGGATAACAATTTTACTTTGATCGTTAAGAACCCACTTAATACTTTCATCACAAAAACAAACAGACTGTTGAAATATTCTAAAGAATTTTTGGATGAAATTGATAGCCCCAAAACCTTAATATCCAGCAACCCCAGCATGCCCAGACTCTATGGCCTCCACAAAATCCACAAGATAGGAGAACCAATTCAATCGGTGGTCAACTTCACAGTTCCCAAATCTGAAAGTTAATTTGGTAAGAGACATTTTTTCACAGAATGGGGTCGTGACCCAGACAAAATCAACGTTATTTCCTTACTTAACCTTTGCCTATCACAGGACTTCTTCTCTTTTAATTAATAACAAGTTCTACGAACAACCTGATGGCTTAGCAATGGGTAGCTGTCTTTCACCTTTTTTGGCAGATGCCTTCATGGACCATTTGGAATCTACAAAAATTCTCAAAGATAGCAACTAAGAAATTTCACACTGGTTTAGGTACGTAGATGACTGCCTGTGTTTTCTGAAATGTGACGAGCTCGGTGCAACAAACTTACTTGACAAAATTAACAACATACATCCAAACATCTCATTCACGATGGAAGCCAAAAAACACAGACAAATTAACTTCCTCGACATCACAATAAAAGTTTCAACCGAGGGTTTCAAATTTTCCATCTACAGAAAACCAATAAAAATCGACCATCTGATTCCGAATACTTCGAATCATCCGCACCAACACAAAATGGCGACCTTCAACTGTTACATACATAGACTACTAAACCTCCCTCTATCGACCGAAGACTATCATAACGAAGTAAGAATTCTGAAAAAATTGGCTTACAACAATGACACCAAATGTATAAATATTCTAATTAACAAAATCAAAAAAGAGCTTTTCCCTGCATAACACACTGACAGCTTCAAATTTGTTTCCTTACCTCATGTAGATCCGGATTTCAATAAAAAGGTCAATAATTGTGTCAACCAATATGTGGATAATGTGAAGATATCCTTTAAAACCACAAACCAACTAGGTTCTCAGCTGATCAATACAAAAGATAGGGTAGATCCACTTTCAAAAAGTAGAATCTACAGACTCTCTTGTGGTTCTTGTAACTGTTCTTATATAGGCAGGATTTGCAGAGCTTTGAAAACTCGCATTAACGAACACATGTCCAGAATCAACTCAGCCTTTGGTGAGCATATCCGCACCTTAAATCATTACTTCGACCCTCAGTCCAACTCAAAGATCATGAGAGCAGTTTCATCAAAGAATTTCAATGGACTCGACTTCCTCGAGGACATCGAGATTAGCAAGGAACTTAAAAATAGTGACCATTGTCTCAACATCTAAGTCAGCCTCAACAGATGTTACATACCTTTACATAGGAGACTACTTGATTGTTTTTACAATTATTTAATACAAACTCCATTATTTCCAACTTTATATTATGATCCCGGTCAGGACAACATAATTTCACTTGCGCATTATCAATCCAGCCATTCTGTGCTGGGCAATTGATAATTTTTCAAAAAACAGCTGTTTTCTACCAAAAGTTTGACTTCAACTTGACATCCCAAAGACTTGCAGATCTTCATATTTAAAAATAACCGAAAAGATTAAACTCTCTCTCATTCAATGAACATCAGAATACCTAATAACATTAAATCATTGAAAGAACAATATATATTTTCCAATAATCAACTGAAACACACAGGAAAATCAAAAATTTATATTTATATTCAAATCTTGACTCTCTAGCGGTCCTCGAGAGAATTGATTTATTTTATTTTAACTGCGTGTAATATTTTTGAAACTTTATATTGTTTGTGACCTTTTGTGTAGATATCTGTAATTCTGGTCGTGTCGTAATGCTTTTTATTCCCGTCGTCGTTAGCCCTTTACAATTTTAACTTTTGTGTCGGAACCTGACAAGTGAACAAAAAAAAAAGAATTTAATAATTTTACATCCACTAATTTAATATATACATATATACAAACAGTTCTATCTTGAATTTCTTCTTCGCTCGCTTGCAGGTAGTACCTAGGATGGCGAAAGCCGAAAGCGCTCTACTACGCTGCATTTCAATAAAGAAAATTTGCATGAAATACACTTTGTTTCTTTCCTTAGTTATAATATAAGCTTTTTTGGATAATCTAAAAGTGCCTACCATTAGGACAATCCAAATAATACTAGTAAAACAGAATGCAAAACAAAATCCAAATGAGCTGGAATATCATAAAGACGTGAGTTCGGATTTATTTTAACAGGCATTTGAATATGCTCGTTACAATCTCTAAAATAAAATTCCATAAAAGTAAAAAGCAAGAAGTGATTTACTCTTTTACTGATCTTGAGAAAACAGCAGAATAAATTTTTTAATACGTTTATCATAGTAATGGAGGCTCTGAGACCCTTCGTGACAGGCTTTACTCCATCTTTACCTTTAACTCCATCTTCAACTCTTTTTTATTCCTAATTTTGATTAACTCTAACAACTATCGACTGATTAATAGTCTAGCATTAAAATCTATTTTCAAGTTAATGATAGCATCAGAAGAAATTGCTAATATTTTTTCCCCGTTTTCATTTATTTGATAAAGGGAACTAATCTGGCCCCCATGAGATGATGTCTGGTCATTATTGTTATTTTCTCTTCTGCAACACGATATGTTTTCGCATGCTTCGGTGAACCAGAAGTTTGTCTTTTCGACTGGTGGCTATAATTTCGCCATCGACGTCGACAAATTGGCACTCGGCGATGCTGACGTATCGTTTTTCACTAAGGCTTTATTACTTTTTTTTCTCGTATTATTACATGTATATCATTACCAACGAATATGTTTGAACCGTGGTTATTTTTGAAACAATATTCAAGTGATATTTCAAAGAGAACCATTATTCAATTTCAGGTAAAATTTATTCATATTAAATCGTCCTAGAAATCCAGACTTTACCTCCCATGAATCTCGCTTTAGGGGGGTCGCGCTATAAAATCTGGGTCAACTTTAACCAAAAGAGCCCTCACGACACATCCCCTGAAGTGTGTATAGAATTTCCGGCGATTTCTCAATATGTCTTCTATTGTTATATTGCCTTTACTTTTTCTGGGCAAACTGCCATACCAACACCGACTTTTTGTATTGTATTGTCCTTTATACGATCCGAAATGTAGATTCCGAATTTCGGAAAGTTTTGTTTAGTAACTGCAGTTGCTTGTTTCTTGACTGAATTTTTTATTTTTTGAAATAAATTTAGGATAAAACATTAAAATATAATAAGTTTTCAACTTTATAATTTGTTACGCACCATTTACTGTTCACAAAATGTAAATAAAAGCCAACCGCTGCGCCACAAACTTGTTTGAGTGCACAATTTCGAATACTAACAATTGCATATTGCCAAGAGAATTACCGGCCATTGTCATTTACGAGCTCTTTCGTCGAAGAAAAAGCTCCACAGTCTATTCTTATAGATATTTATAAGGGCAAGTCTTGAAGGAAAAGAACAAATAAAATAGCCCTTTGTACAGACATCAAAAGAACTGAAAGCTATCCGATTGCGGGTTTTGTTGCTTATACATATTATGTAGTAGGTACCTACCAGAAGATGTTTGCTTTAATATAGTGTGTTGATGCAATGTTGCAATGATTTCGCGTTAACTTTTTTCTGGATCAAATTTGACCCTGATGTATAATAGAGGCACGCATTTTGCGTTTTATATATCGCTGAAGGCATACCAACGCATCGCGGACCTCCTGGAATACCCAGCGAAAAAGGTAGAACGGTGCGTCAGTACCATCGGTACGATAGATTTGGACTGGTTCGAACCCACCACCAATCGGCGGTTCCTTGCACAAAAGATTTTCGCGACCTTTGAGTTTTTCCTCCATTTCTCGCCGTTTACAAGGGGTGCCCCAACGTTACAAGATTACAGAAGCCAAATTGGGTAAGCGACAAACAACCTTTTTGGATGACCTCACTTCATTTCTAATTTTTTTCGTGTAATAAGGACGTAATATTCGCCATACAGTCCACTAATAATTCAAACGTGTCAATTGCATCCTCATAGTGTACGCATTATAATTTGGAACAAAGAGATGTTTTTTGGTACAAATCCTAATGTTCGCGTATTTCCCGTTCGATTTACTATTTTGGCTTTGAAACTCTTAAATCCAACGAAATGGCAAAATACAATTCAACCCCATATCCAGACAGAATCCCTGTTTGCCAGTTTTATATCTTTGGATGCGTTATTATATTTTTCAATTTGGAGATAAAAATTTACGACCGCACATACTTTTTTATATGTTACTTACGATTCGACAATGTGTAATAAATATAGATTTTCATGATTTTTTTTCTAACATCATCATACTTGGAAAAGGTTTATGCGGTATATGATGATTTGCCATATCAATGAATACCAAAGCAAATTTTATTTAAATATATGACCTACTAGGAGAAACACTTTTTTTGCAGAAATAAATTCAATAGTAGTTGGATCCTGAGCGAAACTGGGTACTGGTTGGTCAATGACTAAATTTGGCAACAAAAAAATATTTTCTTACCTTTTGCCACTGGTGATACGGATATAAAATTAACCAGGGCTGCTCCGGTGCCGTGCCCCATCAACGTGACTCGTTCTGGGTCGCCCCCGAACGCCGGCAAGTTTTCCCTGAGCCAGTGCAGACCCGCGACGAGGTCCATTAGACCGAAGTTCCCTTGGGCGCTTCCTTTTGTCCCTGTCTTGAGAAATCCTGCGAAAGGAAAAAGGAAAAGTGTAAATTTAGAGAGACGCGTTTGGGAGTTTTTTTTTTGAGCCAGCAGACAATATCATGGTAATATCTGAGGATGTTTTCTCGTCTCGTGATAGTCGAGGAAAGTAACTCGAGGTCACTCTTATACAGAGTGTCCCATTTTAAATGCTTATTTTTAAACCAGGTGTGCTAGCTACTTGTGGTTTGCGCCATTCGATTTCTCTAGACCTAAAGTTTTTTTTAAGTAGATTGCGATTTTTAGTAAATAAAATCCGTTTTCCAACATCGAAATTCTCCACTATTTCTAATGGCACACCCTGTATATCACAACGTCAAAGAAAAGAGTCATGTTCAAGGTATCCATGTACCAATAAACATCGTCCTTTAAACTTGGAGCTTTAGCCGTAAAAAATCAAAATCGAAATCCCGGTATTTTTCATTAGCATAATTACGAAGCTTGGAAATTATGTTTGCCTGCTAAAAAATTAATAAAAACTGCAAAAAACTATAAAAATGCTGTACTTTGTATGTTAGCCATTATGTCAGTGAATGGTTGAATAAACAAGTAAGATTTCCTGGGGAATCGCTTCAATGACATTACGAATATTCCACTTAAGACCTTCCAGGCTATTTGGCAGAGGATTACAGAATTTCTCCTTGACATAATTCTAGAGAAAAAATTCTGGAACTTTCAAGTCAGGAGGGTGATGTGTCTATTCTGTAGGACCAGCTCTCTCTATCCATCTTTTCCAAATGTCATTTCTAGTGATTTCCTTGCTATTAAAGAATAATGAGGTAGGGCACCCTGCTGAAATATGTAGATATCGTCCAAGATCTACCCTCTCCTCTAAATTTTGGATAAAAGAAATTTCCCAAAATATCAGTGTAACCAGTTCCTGTTATCGTTGGTTCATTAATGGAAAATGGTCCGTATTTTTTCTCAACAGAGATTGCATATCAAACTATCACTTTTGTTGTCAGTCTCTCTATTCTCGCTGGTTAAAATCTTTTGAAAATGTAGTTGATATCTAATTTGACAGTTACAAAATTGTTTGCCATATCGATAGCAAGTACCTACAACATGAAGTTGAATCATCATCATCATCATCGCAGTCAACCTTCTTGTGTCCGCTGGACGTAGGTCTTCCTCATTCTTCTCCATGCATCTCGGTCCCGTACTGCCTGCATCCAGTTGCTGTGACAACATTTCAAATCATCGGTTCATCTTGTTGGTGGACGGCCTCGATTTCGGTAGGATTCTTGTCTCGGCCTCCACTCGAATATCCGCCTTGTCCACCGGTTGTCCGTCATTCTGTCCTGCCCAATTCCACTTGAGGGTTTTTATCTTCTCTAACGCGTCCAAAACTCCTGTTCGGCATCGAATTTCTCGGTTTGGAATTCGATGACTGAGAGAGATACCCAACATAACGTGTGCATGTGTTCGCAAAAATAACAGGATTTCGATTTCAATTTTTACGGCTAAAACTTTCAAGGTTGTTTATTGGTACATGGATATCTTGAACATGTCTCTTTTTTTTTGATGTTGTGACATACAGGGTGTTCCATTAAACATATAGTGGGAATTACGATGCTGGAAAACGGATTTTTTTTACTAGCTCTGATTGGGTATCAAATGAATTTGCAACCAACGAAAAAAAACTTTAGGCCAAGAGAAGTCGAATGTCGCAAACCGCAGGTAGCTAGCATACCTGGTTTAAAACTTATAAACATTTAAAATGGGTCACTCTCGGCTGGGACACCCTGTATTAAAGATCGCTTAATGCACTTGAATGTTGTTTCAAGGTTTGATGCGTTTATTAAACTGATGAATATCCATTTGTCATTCCATTCCAGGGGGGGTTTATTTGAAACGTGCAATTCAAATACGTCTGACTAAGTCGCAATTTGTAAAGGTGAAATTCAAAAAAATGCACATGTGGCTTATTTGAAACTTTCGTCAACGTATTTTGCTAAATTCGTCGACGCAAGATTGCATTTGACATGCGTCACCCCTAGAGCTAGTGCATTTCCAAATTGCATGCGAAAGTTTCTTAAAAATTTCAGTTTAGTCGATAAAAAATTTTCTTGGCCTCATGGAATTCGCAAATAATGTTAATTTAAATGCTCTAGAAAGGGTCGAATTGTATAACAATAACCGCAAAGGGTTCAGAAATCCAAGAATAGATGCATGCATTAACAATGCTTAGGTAATGACGGGGAATTAAAAAAAAAAACTTTCGACTTTCAAAAGAATGTTTCGAGATTCCTTCCATGAAAAGGAGTTCGAAAATTTCCCCGACAAAAGGGCCGGATTTTTGTTCAAATATTCGACCGAGTGTTCTTTTTGTTTTTTGGTAACAAATCCGGACCTTCTCTTATTGGCACTTGCCCCCGCACTTTCCAACCTTTTTGCGGTATTGCCTACACTTATAGAAAGAATGAAGAATGAACTAAGATTATCAACAAAAAAAACGAAAAACCTCCAACTAAACACGAAACTTTATGCACGGAAATAATCAAAAAAGTTGTTGACGGTAAACAATTTCAAATTTGACATTTCAATGCATCGTTCCGTTTGGTCATATGAAATTTTCTAACAATGTCATTGGTTAGAATCTTTTACTGGACACGTTGCCAAGTTGAGTAGTGCAAATTTAAAAAGTCACGAATTACAAAATGCACAAGATTTCAAATAAGCCGATCGTGAATTTTTAGAATTCGTCGACGCGCATATTTCGACCGACTGCGTCGCATGTGAAAGATTTGCACGGATTTCAAATAAACCCCCCCAGATGTGCACGAATAAATAATTGAAAACCTGACCTAAATAAGTAAAGAAGATCAACATGTCCCACCTGATTCAACTAGTCTGTGACCGAATATGAACGACGAATATGAAATATGGTTATTCACAAAAGCTTGATAATATTTTGCATGGTTTTATAGTTCTTATTTATTTATTTTCGAGCAGCATTATAATAACAATACTCGAACGACAAAAATTCGAAGTGCTTGTTGAAAAGAGTCCCTGCACCCAGACAACAGCCAAACTTTGTCATCACCTTGGAGAACTCTGCCTGACTAAGATTGAGCCTGATAAACACTCTCCTCACCAAAAATTTAAAGATTTTTAGACAGAGAATGTCGAGTTGCACAATGTCAGAATGCGTTAAATTGTGAGCTTTATCCCCCAACAACAATCGAAGCTTCTATCACTAAAGTAGATAAGCAAAGGGGGTTTCACTATAAAAATCCGACAATAACCTCAATCTTTCATTCTTGACACTGACAGGTCTGTCTACACATACAGCTTTTCGAGACAGGTCTGTCTACACAGACAACTTTTCGAGACAGGTCTGTCTACACAGACAGCTTTTCGAGAAAGGTCTGTCTACACAGGCAGCTTTCTGAGACAGGTCTGTCTACACAGACAGTTTTTGGAGACAGGTCTGTCTATAGAGGCAGCTTTTCGAGACAGATCTGTCTATAGATACAGCTTTTCGAGACAGGTCTGTCTACACAGACAACTTTTCGAGACAGGTCTGTCTACACAGACAGCTTTTCGAGACAGGTCTGTCTATAAAGACAGCTTTTCGAGAAAGGTCTGTCTTCACAGACAGCTTTCCGAGATAGGCTAGTAGTAACGGGGGCACCTGAGCCTGAGAAATTTTTGGATACCGTGGGAAAATCTCTAGATCGGCGGCGCCTTTGATCTGAAATTTCGTGGATTTGACCCGGGTCAACTGGTTAACCGTGGAACATGATACTCCTGTTTGTTCCCACATTAAACGTCGGCGGCGTGCTGATTCACGAATTTTTCTTATTTACCACTACGGCATTCTGTAAAAGGACACAACAAACTTCACATTATGTACACTAGATGGCGCCACCGATAACATCATGACGTCGAAAAATGTTTAGCCCGGGTCAAATCTACAAAATTTCAGATCAAAGACGCCGCCGATCTAGAGATTTTCCCACGGTCTCGAAAAATTTCTCAGGTTCAGGTGCCCCCGTTACTACTAACCTGTCTCGAAAAGCTGTCTGTGTAGACAGATCTGTCTCGAAAATCTGTCTGTGTAGATAGATCTGTCTCGAAAAGCTGTCTGCGTAGACAGACCTGTCTCGAAAAGCTGTCTGCGTAAACAGACCTGTCAGTGTCAACAATGAAAGATTGAAGTTATGGTCGGATTTTTATAGTGAAACCCCCTTTGCTTATCTACTCACTAAATATTTCAAAGAACAACATTTCCTTCCAAAATATCGCCTTCACAATCAATCATATCAAGGACCAAGACAGAAGTAGGTAGTGGGTAGGTTCATCTTATCAGGGGCTGGATTCTCGTCTAAGGGAATAGAGCTCCCCGATAGAACGAATTTTTCGTCCTTGTCAATGTAATCGAAAACTAAATAATGATAAAGACAAAAAATTTGTTCCCTCGGGGAGCTCCCTGGCCAGAGAGTCGCCGCCCTGGGACAATGCGTCATCCCTGCCGACCGCAGAATCCAGGGGCCGGATTCTCGTCTCAGGGAGTAGAGCTCCCCGAGAGAACAAATTTTTTGTGTTTATCATTCTTGTTTACTTTTCGATTACGTTGGAAGGGACAAACTGTTAAACATCTTTGGTAACAATTTGCACATGGATCGGTGAGCTGAAAGAGTTTGATTTTCTCTCCTTAAAATGACATACATGATTCTCCCTCTTCCTGCTTCTTTGACATGAATTGGGCTCTTCTTATTCTCCCATTTTCCTCCTTTCTAGAATAATTTTCAATTTTATTCAGTATATCTGTGCTTGTTGTTTTTTAAAATTCTATGTTTAGAACCAGTCGTATGATATCGGATATTTCTTGTGTGAACATAAGAAATTAAAAGTGCTACACATTGTTGGTTAGATGCATTTTTCATGTTATGAAAAAATGAGTAATTTTCGTACTTTCTACGCCTTTTCATGTTATGAAAAAATGAGCAATTTTCGTACTTTCTACGCCAGTCCAAAAACTGTTCCAAAGTCAGATTTTCTACTAATTTTTCAGGACCTGGTATAGCATTTGTGAGATGACGGAAGTTTTGTAATAAACTGTTTTCTGGCATGATTGAACTTTGTGATTTATTTAAATTATCAACGGACTCACTTGGAAATATTTGTTCAATAATTTCCCCGTTTTCTGAAGTTGATTCGCCTGCAATACCAGAGACGTTTCCAGTAGTGCTATTGGAAATTCTTTGATTATACAATACATTTTCTAGCATATTTTGCATCTTGTTTAGTTTTTCATTGAATCTGCTAAAGCTTTTATTTCATCCTGACTCGAAGCATTTGAATGTCCTATGGATTTTAGCTTATCTTCTAGGGAAGCTCCGATATCCGCCGTGTCTTTCTTTTCTTGACGAGGCATAATTATTCTTGATAGGTTTATAAAACTACCGACTGCGCCATGTAATAATCAGAGTTATAACTGATATATTTTATTATCATTTGACAACTAACTTCCATCCAACATACACATCATAAATCTATAGGTACTGGTATTCAGGTAGATATCCCACCAATGGCCAAATTCTGGTGAGTGCCACATCGATGACCATCATGTTTATTATTCTGATACGATACCGACCACCAAAATCACTAAAACGGCGTGACCTTCATAGTAAATATGGAATACACATTCACAACTCGGAAATCGTTTGTCCCGATTTTCGATAGACTAGCATTTCTCCAAGTCATTTTCAAACCATACAATGTGAACATTATCCAGACATATGCACCAACCTGCGACTACCCAGAGGAAGCTGTTGAAATATTTTATGGATAACTCCAAATCGCCTTAGATCTGACTGAGAAGTCAGAAATTACAATTATTATGGACGACTTCAATGCAAAAATTGGCAGTGGAGTAAGGGATGACATAGTTGGTAAACGCGGACTGGGTATTGCAAACGAACATGATGACCGACTGTTCATGTTTTGTCAGGAAATTGCTCTCAAATACTTTTTTTTCAACTTCCACCACCTGGACTTATAACGCTCATACGACAATCAATAGTTCGAAATTTGCAGTAGGAGCTGTGATATTACATAATAAAAGGCCCATTGCTTATTCGTCAAAGTCTCTAACAGAATGCCAATCCAGATTTGCTCAAATAGAAAAGGAGTTATATGCAATTCAGTTTGGTTGTACAAAATTTCGCCAATATATTTATGGACGCACAGTTAATGTTGAAACAGATCATAAACCATTAGTCACATTATTTAAAAAACCTCTTTCAGAAGTACCCACTCGTCTTCAAAGAATGATGCTAAATTTATAGCAGTATGATCTCAATGTATCTTATGTTCCAGGAAAACATCTATACATTGCCGATACTTTAAGTAGATCCCCTGTAGAGCCACAAGATGATGATTCTATGGAATAGGAGCTACGTATTCACATAAACTTATTAGTCAGTAATTAGGCCATTTCTCCTGAGAAATTACAACAAATAAAAGTCGCAACTTGTGCAGATCCAGAATTGCAAACCATTATACAGTATTGTCAGGATTCCTGGCCAATTTCGAAGAACAATGTTTAGTCTTCGGTTAAGCCCTATTTTAACTATAGGCATGAGTTACACACAATTGATGATTTTAAGTTTAAAAAAAATAATCTTCTTGTCATTCCTACAGAAATGCGTAGCCAAATTTAAGACATAATCCATTTAGGAATAGATAGGTGTTTAAAGTAGGCACGCGTAGTTGTGTTTTGACCTAATATCACAGTTGATATTAAGAATAGAGTAGAACAGTGCACATCATGCTTAAAGTGTCGTAATTCCAATCCATCAGAGCCTTTGCTACCACATCAGCCTTCAACCTTGCCATGGCAAAAGGTTGGAATGGATTTCTTCTTTTATAATAAAGTCACGTATCTCTTAGTTGTTGATTATTTTTATATTTTGAAGTAACATCGATAAGTTCTATCAATGCCAGTCAAGTCATTACAAGTCTGAAGTCAATATTTGCCCGTCATGTCATCCCATCCATAATAGTATCTGATAATGGTCCTCCATTACACTCGCAAGAGTTCGAGAACTTTTTCCAGTCATGAGATATAGGTTACCATACGTCTAGTCCTAATTATCCCAAAAGTAATGGTTTAGTGGCAAGAACTGTTGCTACTGTGAAGAGTTTGTTTAACAAATGTCGTGAGTTAAATACTGATATTCTCCTGCTCAGCTTTTGATGTCGCGTTATTTCAGAATGAAGTTACCAGTTACAAAAAGCATTCTTAAGCCAAAAGTATCTAATTGATGAAAAATTATCATGATCAACATGCCAGATATTTGTCAGATATAAATGTAGGAGAGTCCATGTATAAAAAGACTGCCAACTCATCTTCCGGACCTGCTTTGGTCACTGAAAAAGGTCCAATGCCAAAGTCTTCTATTGTTCGCACCCCTGATGGTGTAGATTACCGAAGAAATAGGCATCATTTATTAATAAAAAAATTGGACTTAATACATCTGCTCCTTCTACGACAATTGAAGATCATCCAAGATCCAGTACAAGTACTTTATCACACTCGTCGAATTTAAATTGCTCTGATGCTGACACGCCATCTGAAAAAGCACAGACCACAGACGACTAGAGTGTTTACTCGTAGTGGCAGGTTAGTAAAAAAATAAAAATAAAATTATTTATTTTCTTATAAAAAAAGGAACATGTTACATAACTCCATAAGTATAAGTACCATGTAGCAACCAGTATTAGCGGAACTCCTATACTATAAAATGTTACCTGTCTGTCAGAAGTTTGAAAATAGTGACAGTAGTCAGACACATTGTCATAGCATGGAAATGTTTTAAGTTCTTCAATTTAATAAAAAAAAGTCCTGTTTAACTTAACTTTTATTATTAATATTATCCCTTCATCTTGAAGACACACATACAACAGAATCAAGGCTCTGCGAAAAGATGTAGCGATTATCGACTTATTAGCTTGATGAGACACTTTATTAAGATCATCCATAACAGAAAATACGATAAGTGCGAGTCCTTCACAGGCGAATCCAAATTTGGTTTTCGTAACGGGCTTGGCACAAGAGAGGACCTGTTTAGCATCCAAGTGCTAGTTCAAAGATGTAAAGATGTTCTTGTTCCTGTATACGCAAGCTTCGTAGACTAAAAGAAAGCGTTTGACAGGGTACAACATGAGAAGCTTATGAAAATTCTCAAGAATATAGGCTCAGATGATAGACCTCAACATAATCGCAAATCTTTACTGGAATCAGAAAAGAGGTAGGAGGCAGCTCTGCATCCTTTCACCATTTGGTTTTAACATTTATACGAACAAAATATTTGGAAAAGCATTACAAGACTGCACTGAGGAAACTATCAACAGCTTGAACATGCGGTATGCGGACGATACGATTTTAATCGCTGATTCTCTGGAAGGTCTTCAAGATTAAAATTGAATGTCACAAAAAGGAAATGGATGGTGATTAATAAGAACCAGGTTAAAGGAGGTATGCTTCAGGTACAGAACCAACAGATCCATCGGGTCCAATCATACAGATACCTAAGATATCAGGTTGATGAGGAATGGGATAACATGCAGGAGGTCCGTACCAGAATTGAACAAGCCAAAACATCATTTTTGAAAATGAAGTCCGTTTTGTGCAGTCGATGTCTCTCGCTCTCGCGACAAAACTTCATTTTCTTTAAAATTTTTTTACGAAACCTAAAACAAAATGATCCAAATTTGAAATTGATAATCATGAAAATTCTTTCGTAGGCGTATTTTCGGTTCACAATTGCTTTAAAAACCACAAAATGGTTCAAATGTATCCTAAAATTGCTCTTTCCTGGCTTTCTGCTTTGAAATATGGAATAAAATTTCAACAGTTGGCGTTAAAGTGCAATTTTAGAAACGTTCTACATTATAACACTTTTTCTCAATCAAAATCTATCCAATGTAGGCTCAAAATGGGCGTTTAAAATATGGAAAAAAATCCTTGAGTCCAAAATAGAATAAAGCTGCAAATCAAAATAACAAACTGCAATTATTTGGAAAACACAAATAATAATAGGTATGTATTTATTTACCATTTAAAAAACCATCTAGGGAGTATTTCCAATAAAATAATCGAAAATCCCAGCAGAACTTTAGTACGTACATTTACATTCTAGAAGTCTTACAGCCTCTGCCGGATATACAAAAGCCAGCATCCAGCATCAAATTTCCAACATACATTATGGATAAGAGCAAACTACTGCATTTTGCATTTATATGACCCTAAAATACGATTTTCTCTTTGGTGGATACCTACATATTAGGCCCTATTTAGTATTTCGATATATCATTGGAACAGAAACATATCTTCTCATTTTTCTTTCCATATTACGAAAGAATTAAATACTAAATTCGCGTATGAAAGTTATATTTTGCCTTATCTTATATTAACTGAAAACTACATTTTCACTCACAGAGCAAAAATATCCGGCTCTTAGGATTGCAATCAAAGCTTCCGACTAATTAAACCGAAATTATAATCCTCTGTTTCTCTCTTGGTGGCGCCATCCCACCTAGGCGAAAGTAGAAATTATAATATATAAAGTACGTTTAATTTAACCGAGTGAAATTCCCTGAGTGACAATTAACGCCCTCTTTCCCAAGCGGCTCTTACATTATTATATGCAGGAAAATGAAGATATTTGCGTTTAATTTTCCGCCCGATTCCAGGTTATTATTCTTGCGGCTTTATTTCAAATATTTATTTTTAGCTGACTGCGCGCGAGAAAGATAGAACATTTAATTTAATTAGGAAAATTTATCTTCCGCTTCGTGTTGCTGGCTGGCGCAACAATAAAATTTAGTGATCCATAAGCAACTATTCGCAATGAAATTTAATGTGTTGAGTCGTATAAGTTAGCAAATAAGGCATTACTTGAGTTAAAGGAAGAACTGCCTACCCAATTTAGACAAGGTTTTATTTCAGTCTTGTTGATTGTCTATTAAAAATAGTAGACCGTTTTTTTTTGAACTGCCAATAGTAGACCAAAGTAGACATCATTGTCCCTTCACAGTCGGAGCCAATTACTTGCATTCAAACATCATTTATTTCCTCGAAGTTTTTTTTAGTCTAGTTTCAATAGGAAGGAAGTAGGCATCAAAACTAACAACATATAGACTGTAATTTCAATTATGAATATTTGAAAATGGATCAGGAGTAACTAAACACCCGCCTATTTCTCCCATCGCCAAAAATATCACAGTAGGAGTT